CTTGACAGTTCTGGCGGCCAGTCTTAGTTTGTTTAGCTAGAAGCATTTGTCGAAAAAACCGGTGCCAGTAGCAACAAAAACTGCGGGGGGCCATGCAAAAAACGCATCTTCGCACGGGCAGCCCGTGCGTTGGCCAATTATTCTCATTTAATTCTACCAAAAGTCTGCAGGCATGGCACGTTGGGGTACGACTGTTATTATGCACAATAGGTCGAAGGCTCGATTCTGCCAATCCCTTTACGATTCGTTTCGAAGGTAAATTTGTATTGGCGTATGTCGGGGACTAAAAGCCATCGTTTGTTTACAAACAACCTTCGAAAGAGTGAACCACGGCAACCTTGTTGATGGGCAGTTGCTGTTAGCATTTCTTGTCACTCGGAATACCTCTCGAACGCCTCCGCCTCCTACAGAGAGTGAATCCGGAGTGGGTTTTTGACCTCTTAAAATTTGCGAAGATGTGTGACTAACTGACTGGCTGAGCCTACCGGGAGGCTTAGTCGGTTAGCCACAGACCTGCACCAATTTTTTCACATTCTCGTGTACCAAACGACTTATTTCCAAGCAAAAATTTCATTATTAAGGGTAATCCAGACTGAAATGCACCAGGCGGGCCGGTGCGATTATGCGTTTTTGCACTTCTCGTGCCGTAGCAAGATCTCAAGGAATCGCAGCAGCTAGCCCTATGACATACTGGCTTCAGGAGTTAATTCTGCAGCTATGTAGCATGTCAGTTGTAGATGTCGACTTCAGCGACCCAATAAAAGAAAGCTCTTGGTCCGCGAAAAAAACCCTATTGGGAGAGTTAAATTTGAAATCTTTTAGCCGCACATGAGCAGGGGACATTCTCTTAAAATTAAAGCCTTACAGCTTTTTTTTTTTCCCCGAGTTGGCAATTCTTTCGTAAAAATTTTCACGCGCCCGTACGTGAGTCCCGGGAGGTTCTAAGAAGATAAGTTTGAAATCTTTGTGTCGTACATGAACGGGGAGTAGTACCCTACAGTTTCAGCTTTCTAGCTTTCCTCGCTCCTGAGTTACTGATTTTTCCGCCAAAATTTCCACGTGCCCGTACGTCGGTCCCGGGCGCCTCTAAACGCCTAATTTTGGTCGTACACCGGTAGGGAACATTCTCCTAAAGCTTTTCTCGTTCCCGGGTTAGTGATTTCCCCGCCAAAACTTCCACGGCTCGTACTTGAGCCCCGGTCAGTCCTGGGCAGTTGAATTTGAAATCTTTTTGTCATACACGGGTGGGGAACATTCCCCTAAGATTTCAGCTTCCTAGCTTTTCTCGTTCCCATGCTAGCAGTTTTCCCGCCAAACCTTCACGTGCTCGTACGCGGGGCCCAGACGTGCGTGAGGGTTGAAACTGCGGCCCTACGGTGGTACCTGGCTGGGGAACACACTGGCAAAATTTCAGCTTTAAAGCTTGCGTGGTTAGTGAGTTGAAATACCCCCTTGACAGACGAACACACACACATACACACGCACGAAAACGTACACACACACACTGACAGAGTCGTTGCAATATGCATTTTTGCTGCCTGTTGCAGCACTCTAGTGCTGCACGACAAAAACGCATAAAAACAAAACCAGCAGATGTAAATCAAAAACACTTATTTGAAAATACTATGTGAGTGAAAGAGAAAAAAGATTCAATACAAAAGTAACGCACCGGGTGTTTCAACCTTCTCATAGTGATATGGATTGACACAAACAAAATCCAGTCTTTTGCTATATGGATAACGACAGTGCGGCACTGCCTTTAGCTGCTGAGTTGACGTGACCTCCGGATAACGCCACAACTGACAATACATAACATGTGGGAAACATTTGCGCGTTGAAACTTGCAGCCGGCCGTCCATAGATCTATAAAATTTTACCTAACAGGCTGAATGGCACCATTAGACGTATTCAACATTTAAAACACGCATGAAACTGCACACTACTGAAACCGGTTGGGAGGATTTTGCGCCAAAATCTCCGATTCATCTCTTCCCGTAAAACCGATGATCACGCACGATTACATCAACCAAAATACCCCTATTTCGAGCACTATAAGACGACAAAAAATGATTTTATCGGCCCACCAAAAAACAAAAACCGAAAACCAAAAAATGCGACTGCAGGATCAGGACTACGCTGGGTCAGGAAATGTCTACTGTCTTTGTGAGCTAAACTGTTCTTCTACAGCACTCATTTCTATCAAGAAATGTTACAATTTACTTAAGCGGCCACTAAGAATGCAACGCCTATGAAAAGCAGAGAGATCAATCCATCTGTTAAGTAAAAAAAAAGTGAAAAAACCAAAACTTCTCTACCCCAACTTCTCGATCACCATCGGCACATTCCTCGCCCTTTTAAAAACGAAGGCGCTCAGACATAATACGAATTTTAATACAATGGCAAAGGTAACTATCGGCTGCTAGAGACCCTTTCCTATAACAA